GTGCAGGCCTGTGGGCTGCCTGTGGGGAGCTGAGTTACAGCAACACTGTGGTCAGTCACCCCCTTCCTCAGATGATGCGCCAGCTGTCCTGTGCTTGTGTGGTGGGTTTATTTATTTTTCACTCAGCTCATGTACCACAGGATGGACAGCTATAGGAGAAATATGCTGAGAAACTCCCCCAGCAACTTCATCTCACTCAAAGAGGAAGACAGAGCCCTCACCTCAACCCGCAGGCCTGCATGACCTGTCCCCCATCAGCTCCCTATCTTCACCTCCTCCCTCTCTCCCCAGCCAGAGGGGCCTCCTCCTTGTTTCTCCAACATGCCAGGCACTTCACAGGGACTGTTCTCTCTGCCTTGGGAGTGCTCTTCCCCCAGCGCGTACATCGCTCTCTCAAGTCTCTGCTCAAGTGTCCCCTTCTCAGCAAGGCCCTTTCTGACCGCCTTGTTGTAATTCTTAAAGCCCACCCACCATCACTACTCCCTTGTGCCCTGCTTCTTGATTCTCCATGGCACTTATCACCACTGATCTTACTATGCGTTTTTCTGTGTCTCCCCCCGTAGGCTGCAAGAACCACAGAGGCAGGAACCACATGTTTTGTTCACCGCTCTTTCCTCAGTGCCTGCGACACAATGTACGATCAATAAATATATGCTAAGTGAATAAAGGAAGTTTTAGAATAAATGAATGAATCGTGATTAAGGTTGAGCCAGAAATTTACCCCTAAGCCCCCTGGTGGCCAAAGCAAAAAAGGGAAATAGGATTAGTTACATGATCCATGAAGATAAAGCGACCCAGTTTAGAGGGAAAGGCCCTGTGCCAAGCCACTGATGTACTTCTCACTTAACCTTCATAAGAAGTCTCTCAAGGGAGACCCAGTGCTGTGTGCAAGACCACCAGCCTGATGGAACGCTGGTCCTGCCCAGCACCTAAACCATCTGCTAACCACTAAACCAAGTTTCCCCAAACTGTCTTGATTATAAAAATCACCTGGTTGCCAGTAAAATGTACATAGTCTGGTTGCCAGTAAAATGTGTCTCCTAGAAAGTCTGAGTTCAGCAGGTCTGTAATTAAACAATTATCTCTAGGTGATTCTTTTAATCAAAGAAGTTTGAATAATGGCTCTTCATGCAACAAAATAAAAGAGAGAGAGAAAGAGGATAGGCTAAATACCTAACTGTGAAAAGCAAAACTTGAAAACATTTATAAGCATTTAGGAGGCTATCTTTATGACTTTGAGACATGGAAAGATTTTTACACAAGATAAAAATATACAAATCATGAAAGACTAATAAATTTGGCTTATACAATTTTTCAACCTTTGTACAACAAAACACAATGGGGAGAAATAAAATGAAAAGACAAGTTAAAAAAAAAAAAAAAGGCCGTATATCTAAAATATATAAAGAGTTCTGAGAAATCAATAAGAAAAAGGCAGAATAGGCAATTTTGATGAGAAAACCCACATAGCCAACAGATTTTGGCAAAGATGTTCAACAGAGGGATGCAGGTTAAAATCATTTTACATACTGGGTTGTCAAAAATTGCACAATCCTTTGAAACCAACTCTTGGGAGAACACAAACTTCCTTTACATGCAAAGGACTATAAATTGGAAGTACCACTGCGTGGAACACTTTGGTAATGTCAAAGTTGAAGACAGGCATCCCTTAGGATCTGTGATTCTATTCCTGTATATATACCATCAGGTGACTTTGGCCCACAGTTCAAATCTGGCTACACCTGTTTTGGGAAATCAAATCTTATTGAAACACAGGTCTGCCCACTTGTTTCCATATTGTCTATGGCTTTCAAGCTTTAATGACAAAGTGAAGTAGTTGCAACAGTGGCTGTCTGTCCCTCAAAGCCAAAACATATTTACTCTCTGACTCCAGTACAAAAAAAGTTTGCCAGCCCTGCTCTGGATCAATGCTCTAATATGTACATAGGGTCTCCCGAGGGTCTTGGAAGAATGAAGGTTCTGATTCACTGGTTCCTAGTGTGGCCTGAGAATTTTCAATCCTAACAAGCTTCCAGGTGATGCTGTTGTTGCTGGTCTGTGAACCATGATTTGAGTACCAAGGATCCAGAGAACACAAAATTCAGCCAGGATGTTTCTGTGAATCTTTGCAGACAAGACAGAGAGATGTGGTCTCATCAGCATCTTCAACTCATTTTTTGTCTGCCCCTGGTGTCATCAACTGATCGGACAGACTTTCCCTCAGTGTTTATTGCACACTCTATGTGGGCAAGACAGACCTGAAGCAGGAAGAAAATGTCATGTATTCACAGCCAAAGAGATCTCAGCAGCCTTCAAAAATGGGTGGAAGAGGAAATATAACACATGGTTGCACAATGTCTTAAAATTTGGTCCCCACGTCAATCATGATTGTGACAGACATAACCTGAGGGGCCGGTGGACACTGCAGGGTGGGACATGGCACTAGAATTCTTACAGCCGCAGCTCCCAGGCAGCCATACAGAAGGTGGTCAGTGGCCCATTGGCTCTTGGAGGGCAAAGGACACAACTGTGGTCCCAGAGCCCAGCACAGGAGAGTAATCAACATGTCTGGGATAAATGTTCTAAATATTCATACAAGTTTCCTTTTGAAAACTCCTCAGTCTGGAGCACTTCCTCCCATATCCATTTCTTGTTGACACATAGTAAGAGCTTCAAAAATATTTCATGATAAAATATATGTATTTTATTAATAAAGAAATGATTCGTATCCAGTTTCAGGAACCATCATATATCAATGCCATTGACAATAATAATAACAACAAGAGCCAGGCCAGGTGAAGGGAATTATGAAGAATGAGGAAATTTCCCCTGATGAGACCACTGTTCTAGGACTGGGAACATGAGAGCTTTCTAAGAAGGAAAGGAAGAGAGGGGAGTTGACATTTGCTGAACAGTTGCTGGTTATGAAGTGCTATTCACACTATAAATGAGATTTAGTCTTCTCAAATCATCTGAGGTGAGTGTGGTGGTCTCTACTTTGGAGAGGAAAAACCAGAGGCTCCTTCCACCATCCTAGCTGCCTCCAAGCAGAGGGAAGGTTCAGGGAGGGGGGTCTGAGTGGCACCCTGAGGTAAGAACAGGATTAGAAGTAGAAGTTTTCCAGAAGTAGGATTTGACTCTAGAAAAGGAGTGGTGTTAGGGTTTTTCAGGCAGTGAGTTCTCCATCTCTAGAAGTATGCAAATTGAGACTAGATGACCACTCATCAGTTTCCTGATGTGGAAATTCTATAATTTGCTTTAGGCTGACAATTCTCTGGGCTTTTCCATCTGGTGCTGAAAGGTTAAAGGGGGTCTGAATGACCCAGAGGTGGTCAGAACTCACTCTCCTGAGTCCATGGGATGTGGTTGTGCTGCGCTCTGACACCTCGAACACCTTGGACACCCTGGCTGGGTGGCATCACTGAAGGAAAGCACCAAGCCACCCACATCTCCCAGCAGTGGATGCTACACAGCTGTACTGCTACCTCCTTTCTTTTCCCTCCAGGATTTTTAATACTCCTTCCGTCAGAATCAGAGCTGCAATAAAGACCTCTGAAGGATCGGCCATGGCTGTGTGGCATCTTTCTGTTGAAAACTGGCTCCTCTGCATCCCCAGTCTACCCCTCCTAGCTGTGAGGGTTGGCTGGGGAGAGAAAGGGCAGAGTCACCTCCTTCAGGCAGCCCTCCTTCTTGCTTCCCCAAGACACTCTAGGAAATGTGAGGCTCTAAGCCAAGTTTGAAGGTGAGGGGGAAGGCAGGGCACTGGGGACGCCCCACCCACCTGTTTCTCCGGGGAAGTGGCTGAGCTGGCAGCACAGGTCTTCAGAAGAGCAGGTGCTGGCTTATCCCCCCATGACTGACTGCTGCAGCTGACCAGTATAAAGGGAGGCATGGCCAGGTGCTTGCTTTCTGCTCCTGCTGGAGGACTGAGCACCAGGTGAGGAACCATAACAAATGTGAGGAGGGCTGGACAGTGATGTGTTTGGCTCCCTGCTCTGCCCAGGAAGAGCAGGGCTCTTGGGCTACACACATTTGTGACTGTGATAAACTCTCGGTGTCCAAGAATTATCCCAGTCTGAGCTTGATACGGGGTGCACCTGAAGCCAGTGAGCTGGCTGACCATGGGTATTCAGGGCTCAGTGACTTCATCAACCTAGAGGACCCCCCAACAAGTCTTCTCATAATTAGAGTTGGGTCTTTTTTATCCATAATCTAATAAAGCTTTAAAACTTTTTTTTAAATAGAGGGGACTGAGTGAGAAATTGAGTAGGGAGCAGGTTTCGATGAGCTCTGGGAGCTCCCTAGGAGACCTTTTCCACAGAGTGGTCCCTTCTCCCTTCCAGCTGGGAGTGTGTGTGCTGGGCAGTAGAGGGGCAGTGAGCAGCTGGGGAGAGAGAGGAAACTGACCCACTCAGATACTGCTGACCTCTTCTGGTGGCTCACAGTCCTGACCCAAGACATAGAGGAAACCATCTGGACTAGGTAAATCTGATCCCTAAACTAGGTGGTAAGCAAATCCCCAAGGGAACACAAAAATAGGAGAATTCAGACATCTTTAGATGTTCCGTCTCCTTCAGTATGGTCTTCAGTATATTTGTCCCCAGATCACCATCTCCACCTCCAGAACAGGAACCCCAAAGCCAGGAGGGTGTCCTCCTACATGCCACTAAGCTGAGCACAGAAGGAGGAGGACAAAAATCACAGTGCGTGGGTGAGGGGAAAGGTGAATTGCAAATAAATAAGAAAATGAATCAATGAACAAATGATAAACAAATGATCACAAAAATGAATGATTAAATGAATGGAAGAACATACTGATGAATGGATGGATGAATGGTTAGATGGAAGGATTGAAGTAAGAAAGAAAAAGTGACTATCCAAAGCACATATTTTAAGCAGGATGGGAGCCATGGTATGATCCAAGATGGAACCCTATACCCTCCTCCTAGAGGCCTGGTCACTGAGGAGTAGGCTCCTCTAGACAGCCCCCCTCCCTGATTCTCACAGGCCTTGCTCAGCACTGGGAACTGAGCCAAGGCCAAGCCACTCATCCACCCAGATCAACCCATGCTCAGCCCCAACCAACGCTTGAGTCCTGGCCCTGCCCAGGGAAAGCCCTCAGAGGGGTCCCTGACCACTCTTGCAGCCCCCAGGTGCTCTGCTGGAGGCTCGAGATTTGATGCGCAGTTTATGGGGCAGGGAGGGCTCGGCCAGACCCTCGGGATTGTTCCCTGGGACGGGGCAGGCCACCCTGGGAGGCAATCCCATGGGATCAACAGTGGGTGTCAGTAACATATCTGAGGGCCCTGAGGTCTGGCAACCAGTGGGTACAGGAGACCATAGTCCCCAACAGGGCCTGAGCTCAGGTCTTGGACTCCCATGCCCACCCAGGATGTGACAGGTAAAGAAGGTGGCTGGGAGAGCAGCTTGCAAGGCCACATCCATTGTCTTAGGGTCAGTGGGGGCAGGGTCCTGGGAAAACCTGGAGGAAGTGGCCAGGCCAGTCCACCTGTGAGCCACTTGGCAGCCCTGGCATCCTGGAACCCCAGTGTCCAGGCAACAGGGCCTCAAGATGCAGCCATGGGAGCCAGGCAGAGAGGGGAGTGGTCCAGCCCCCTGCAGGGGGTCTTCAGTCCAGGGGGACGTCCACAGCACCTGCAAGGGCAGGCTCCGGGTGCCACCAACAGGCGGCAGAAGGCCAAAGTGACACTTGAGTGCTCTCAGCTCAGTTCTGAGCAGAGCGTTCTCCTGGAGCAGTGCGGACAGCCTGCCCTCCAGCGCCCGGTCATTGAGACGTCGCTTCTCCCGGGATCTCTTGGCCGCTTCATTGTTCTTCCTCCGCTTTTCCCAGTAGGCTGTGTCCTTCTTCTCTTCTGGCAGGAACTCCCGCTGCCGACGCAAGACTGGGCCCCTGCCCCGTGTTCCCTGCAGGGTCTTGCTGCGACTCTGGGGTGCAAGTGTCAGGCCCAAGAGACCCAAATCCATGGCTACCTGGGGGACCTGAGGAACAGGAAAAAGATCTTGGATTGGCAGCAGAAGGCAGACCTGGATGACCCCTCCCTCTAATTTATCCTCCACCTTCCCCAGTGGGGGGGGGGGTGCAGATGGAGTGGGAATTTGGCTGGAGACCAAGGTGGGGGTGTATTTGAGAGAACGGGGAGCTCGAGGGATAGTTTGATGCTAATGGAGATGTGGGCAAGGTCACCAGAGAGAAAACAACTTGGCTGGAAAAGGTGACCACAGTCATCACAGAGGGCTGGTTGGGCATTGTATCCTTGGATGGATGCAGGCTCCTTCCCAATGTTCTTACCACTGAGAAGGTCAGCAGACAGACCAAGGGCTCAGTTCAATCTGAGCTCCAGGGTGAGATTCCTAGAGGCTCGGGAGGAGTAGAGGAGAGCCTAAACCTGGAAAGAGAGAATATGTGTCCACACAGTTCATCTGAATCAAGTTGGGGGTCAGAAAATAATTCACAACTCATCTGAACTGTGCCCAAGGTGTACACCAAGATTTCCATCTGTGACCAGTTTTATACCTGCCCATCCATTTATAAGGTCTTCTGTTTACTCATCTACTCACTCAACTGTACATTTGTCTATCCCTCTACCAAACTCTCCAACTAACTCACCATCCATTCATTTATCCATTTATCTACCCATCTACCATCTTTTGTATCTATCCATACACTCATTCAAACATCCATCTATCCTCCATCCAATTTTACAATCATTTATCTATCTATTACCCATTCATTCATCCATCCATTCATTCACTGATAGACTCATTTTTAAAGAAATAATATTGTGCCTACAGGTAAAAAAAGAAAAATAGACAAATTTGTCATCATAAATTCTTTAAAATTTTGTACATCAGAGATACTATTCACAAGGTAAAAAGGCAACCCACAGAATAGGAGAAAACATTGGCAAATCACACATCTGATACGGGATTAACATCCAGAATATATAGGAAACTCCTAAACTCATCAACAACAACAACAAAAACCTGACTCAAAAGTGGGCATTGGACTTGACAAGACATTTCACCAAAGATATACACATAGCCAGTAAGTACAATGAAAAAATGTTCAACACCCCTAATAATTAGGAAATGCAATTCAAAACTACAATGAGATACCACCTCACACTAAATCTTATGGCTACTAAAAAAAATAAATAAAATCAGAAGACAGCAAGTGTTGGTCAGGGTGTGGAGAAACTAGAACACTTGTGAACTGTCGTGGGAATAAAAAACAGCGTTGCCATGTGGAAAACAGTACCTATACCTGGACCCCCCTGAAAACTCCTAGTTGTGGGAGGGAATTCAGTGCCCTTGTCTGGGACATCACCCCTCGCTGCAATCAAAGAATTCTGGTGTGTGATAGTAAAAGTGTGAATCTCTTCAACTCCTAAAAGCAGTGCTCAATTCACACCCATCTTCCCCCAGAGGATGGAAATAAATAAGCAAGGAAGACACCACATGGATTTTTTTTTTTTTAACAAACCAGTGAGTGAGTACATGAATTTTTTTTTTTTTTTGCATGTACCAATGAATGCATGAGTATTTGAATAAAAATGTCACCCCAATAAAGTTACTAAAAAAATTAGTGAAATATTAGTGAATGAACAAATGAGCAGATAAAGTAATGCTCAGGGGCAGGGCCCTGAGAGTAGGGTATGATAAGCCTGAATGGGTCCTCTCTCTCCCTTAGAGGGCTGAGCCCGTGTCCTATACCACCCAGATAGCTCATCTGAGCCCTAGTCAAGATAAGTCCACAGACCAGCCCTCACTCAGGTTCCTTTGACCCTGTAGTCACAGCATCCTGCCACCCACCTGGCAATGTTCTGGGGGCCTCAGAAAGAGTACTGACCACCATTCCAACTTTAAGGATGCTGACCAGAGCCCAGGAGTTATGTGCACCAGTGTGGAGGTCAAAGACACATGCCAAGGCCCTAGGGCCAGTGTATGGTAGGTATCAATCAGGCTCTGGAAGACATAAGGAGGGTGGCAGGCAAGCCCAGAGATGACTGAACCGGGACAACTGGGCTGTAAAGGAGGGAAACACAGAACAGGGTCCTGTAGGGCCAATTCAAATCCAGCAGCTGCCTGAGGAAGAAGTCTGTGCATGGAGTGATGATCAGATGGAGGGACAGGCTCAGTCTCTCTGCCCGAGCCTCTCCTTTCTGTGGTTTGGCCTGAGGTCCTCTTAACCACTGCCTCCCACACCTCCACAGGGTGATGGGGAAGCAGATAGCTCAGCTGCCCGAGTTTATTTAGAGAAGATACATTGAGGGCTGGGCTGGGCCTTCCTGTGGTCACAGAGGAAGTGTTAATGGGGGGGGGGGGTGAGACAGAGCATGCTCCTTGTGAGAAACAGCCATTGGGGGATGAGGAAACAGATTAAGGGTGTCCCCCAGAAAAGGGTCAAACTCAGCCTCATCAGCCCAATCAGCCTCTGCAGCTTCCCTGACCAGTGGCAACCAAAGTTCTGTTTAGTTCCTTTGCATAATAGGGAGCTCATTCACTCTAACATCAACCCTTGTGAGGCTGGGTAAGCTGTCAAAGTCAAGAAAGCTTTCCTGGAATGGAGCTAATATCCATCTTCATGGAACTTTGCCATGTTGGAATTCATTCTCTCTGCGTCCATGAAAAAATTCTCCTTCTTGCCCCTAAAACACTTTTGGGATTTGATGCATCAATGTTCATGTTCCCTGGTCTCTAGTCTGTTTCCCTCCAAGGAAAGCTTATGGATCACCTACTATGTGCCACACACAAGCAACATCACCCTTTGCACTCACCACAAACTGAGGCTCTGAGAGGTCAAGTGACTTGCCTGAGTCAGCACAGCCAGATTATTTTCTAACACGCTGGTTAAACCTTCCCACTTGTCCTATTTCTTACACTGAGAACAGTGTTCTTTTTGCTGTGCAAATTTTTTAATCCTCACTCAAGGACATGTTCATTGATTTTAGAGAGGAAGAGGGAGAGAAATTAATGTGAAAGAGAAACATCAATAGGCCACAGGCCGCCTCTTGTGCCAGCAACCTAGCTATGTGCTCTGGCCAGGAATGGAACCCACAACCCTCCCTTTTGGTGTATGGGATAATGCTTCAACCAACTGAGCCACCTGGCTGGAACTGGGAACACAGTTTTGAGTTTGTTTAAATCTCTGAGGGGTAGAGGTGGGTGTCCACAGAGGAAAAAAGGGTCCAGAAACTGCACTGCTGACAATGAATCAGGGCTGAGATGAGCACCCAAGCTGCTGGCATGATGCAATGGGTGAACAGAGTTACGAGCTTAATCCTGCTTTAAATAGGTTCAAACTCTTCTTCCTAGCTGAGTGCATTTGGGCGTGTCAGGTCACCTCTATGAGTTTCCATTGTCCATGAAACTTCTCCACTCCTCCCCAAACACTTAGAAAAGACAGGAAAATGATGACTTGAACCAGACACCAGGCAGAGGTGCCCAATGGCAAGGGTGCCCAACCATGGAAGTAGAGTTCCAGCTAATATGTGAGGGCAAGAGCACACACTCTCAGAAGACTCTAGAAAAAAATGAAAAAATTCACAAGCACTTCATGAAGCTTCCACAAACGTCCCAACTTGAAGAATTTCTATCAGAGCAAATACAGAATATTATACAATATTAAAATCTAGTACAAAAAAAGATCAAATTACTAAAAAACATAAAGGATGGGATAATAGTCATAAAAAAAGAACAGGAGGTTATAAAACAAAAACAAGTACATATAAATAAGAACCAGTCAGGACTAAGATATGAAAAATATAACTGCTACAAAATTCAAGTGATGGGTTGACTACTAGGCGGGGAAACAAAGACCCGGGTCTGGAAAGGACTTACAAGGTCACATGGGATTTTAGTGGCAGAAATAGATCCAGAACCTGAAGCCCAGGTTATAAAAGCCAATAACTAACTCAGGAGTTGAGCCTGGAGGCCATTTGTGGCTCTCCAAGAGTGTTCTGTGGTTTTCCCTTCTCTCTTTCCTGGTTTTCTTTTCTTTCCCTGTGTTATAAGGTTGCTGCTGAACTGGACTTTACAGATTTTCCCTAATGAGGAGAAGAGCTTCCATTTCCTGACTGGCCAGGTTGGGGTAACCAATGTGAGAAATGGCCAAACCACTCCTCCCAAATTAGAATTTAATTAAACAGAATCTTAGTGACAGAAGAGTTGACTGAGTGAAATAGCCAGTATTGGTCATGGGATGCTGTATGGGTGACTTAACATCTCTAAGTATCTGACTTCCCATTTATAAAACAAGCTGAAGGATCCCCATCACATGCAGATGTTTTGAGAATTAAATTAAGTTGTGTGTACAAGAAACCAGGCATATCCAGGTGGTCTCACATGGACCACTTTTCTGGAGACCAGCAAAGCCTCTTCTTTGAGTCCAAAGAACCTCAGATGAAAACAAAACTACAGTCACTTGGTGACTCAGCCACAAATGGAGGAGAAAGAAAAATTAAAAACTGTTAAAGGTTAGGAAAAAAAGGTGAGAAAAAATAAAATAAAAAAGGAGTGGATAAAATAATATGAACCAGGCCCACATCAAGACACATAATAATTAAAATGCCAAAGGCTAAAGACAAAGAGAGACTCTTAAAAGCAGCCAGAGAAAGGCAGTTAGTTAGCTATAAGGGAGCTCCTATAAGACTATTAGCTTATTTCTCAACAGAAACTTTGCAGGCCAGAAAGGATTGGCACACCATATTCGAAGTGATGCAAGGCAAGGACCTATAACCAAGTTTACTGTACCCATAAAGGCTATCATTTGAAATAGAAGGAGAAATAGTGTCCAAGACAATAAAAATCCAAAGGTGTTCATCACGACCAAAGGAGTATTAAAAAGAAATGATTTTTTCCTCATCTGAGGATACCTTTTCATTGATCTTTTCCAGATAAGGTGGTGGTGGGGGGGTGGGGGGAGAGACATCAGTGTGAGAGACATTCACGTCAACTGGTTGCCTCCTGCCTCCTGCACA